TGTTCTTGTAAAAGTGTTCTCTGGTAATGTCCTAATGATGGTAATAAGGTTCTGGTAAGGAATCACAAATAGCATATTACCCAAAACTGCTTTTTTTGTGTGTTATCAAAAGGAAGACCACACATTAAGAAGAAAAAAAGAAAAGAAAAAAAGAAAGTATATTTAATCTGTACTTCCATAAGCAGCATGAAATTCTTTTTGCTTTTAATTTGGTTTGGTAGCTTCCAAGAGCAACTGTAGTCATCACCACATGGAACACATGCTTCTTTTTATGTAGACTAATGACAGCTAATTGCTTAACTTACAATCTAGATTTCTGTAGACTTATCAGTTTTAAGGGGCATACTGTCATGCCTTGTGGGGGGGGCTCATGGTTTGAGCTCTGGGTAGGCCATGTTCTCTTGAGAGCAGGAGCCAGGGCTTGAGCTCAGCCCTCTGGTGTGCAGAGAATGGTACACATGGAACACTCTAGAAACTACTGGAACACTCAAGGGACCGATGCACATGCACTGGAACATCCCTGGGGCACTGGCCCAGCATGACCAATAGCTTGTACAGTGGAAAGGCAGTATGCATGAGGGCTTGGGAAGGCTTTCCTTTCTACATTCTTTGGACAGTGCCACTCTGCACCTCACAGTTAAAATCAGAATGAGATTCGTAAGCATGCTGAATGCCTTTGCTAAAATCATCCCCCCCTGAGAGCCAGGAAGGAATATCTGACCAAGTTTTTTTTTTTTTTTTTTTTTTTCTTCAAGGACTCAAATATCATTGGTGTAGTCAATTTGCAGTAACTGTTTGGGCTTTTTTCAATTTATTTCTATTTTTCAGATTCTAAACATAAGGGGGGAAAATCATATCTGAACTTAACACCCAAGCTACATCAAGCACAACCTAAATTAGGAAAAAGCTTTTGATTTCTGTGAAAGCAATTTACCTGTCTGTTCACCTACATAAGTAGACCGCAGTGACAGCATTTGCAGAGTCTGAGAATGATAATTACAGTTGTTACATGTGGAACTTAAAATGAAATTTTTAATAAGACACGTTTTTCAGTTTCTTACTAATTGGCCTCTATTAAGAATGCTTTATAAAGTAGAAATTACTGTCAAATTACTGATCAGATGCCATTAATTATTAGAGATTTAATCCAGAACTGTCTTTTAGCATAACTATTCATTTGCCTCAGACTCTTTCGCCAGGACATACCTTGCTCCTGTATTGTACACATGGGGTCTCGGGCACACGTGGGCACATATGCTGTGCATATACAGAGTATGGCTCTGTACACACAGGAACAACTGTCCATAGGGCCCACTCAGATGGCAGCCCCTGTAATCCCTGCTGTGAAGTGCTGCCACAGGCTGTTCCTGAATTAAAATAGAATTCTGCATCAGCAATAATGCTTATATTCATGAGCTTAGAGTAACTATACAATTTGCCGATACTTAAACAAAGCAAGGCCTAAAAGAGTTGTAGGCATTTGTTCCAAATTCAGTAAATCAAAACTGCTCAGTTTGGTTTGTGCCTCTCAAATCAAAACCTAAAAAACAACAACAACAACAACAACAACAAAAGATTTGATTAGTAAGTTCGGTTTTCTTTGGTGCTAGTACTAAATTCTTACTTTCTATAAGACTCTAGAAACAATCACAAAATACTACAAAGCACTTTTCGCTTTGTTGCTTCTTTGAATTTTACAGAATTAAGAGCTTTTAGAAACAGTAGCAGAAACACATCATCATGTGAATAAATTAAGCTGGGAGCCTGTTCCCAAGGTGGTGTTTTTGTATTATGATAACTACCCGAAGCCACTCTCATAATAAAACTCTATTTAAAGTTTTTCCTTCACAGGCGTCCATGGCACAACCATTGGATGTTCAATACATCACTGGGGACCCCTAACCTTCTTCATCACTGGGGACCCCTTACCTTCTTCAACAAGGAAAGTTGCATAGTGGTTTTCCTGACAGGCTCTTTGACTCACACTGCTGTTCTCTACTTTATATGCCTGGCATACACTGTTTTAAGAGTTGTTTGTTTCTGTCCTCAATTTCTTTTACATATGATTTAGACCTTTAGAACTTTCTAATGCATCTTAGCTTGACATATAGATAGTAAATATTTTATATAGTAAAAAAATAGAAACTACTTCTTGCGCTAGTAATAAGTGAGTTAGAGCTCAGTTTCTGGAAGATTATTCACCATTTAAAAATGAACAAATACTAGACCCTTTCCCAAGTGAATACTAGAATTTTTATGTAAGTTTCAATTGTTCTGTTTTGATAAACACAAGACAAGCTTCCCAGTTTGACAGCCCTTTGTTTATTGTGAATGCTTTTCTAAGAACATCTTTTTGAATTAGTGGGCTTTGATGACACAAATGAACTGTGTAATGCATAGTAAAATACTGATTAACATTTCTATTTTGGATCAGTGGCATAAGTTGAATATTTTGTTGAGTCAAAGTTAACCAGAAATCTTTGTGTGAGTGTGTGTTGTGCCCCCAAAATGAAATATTTATAAAATGTACTTTCCTTCCTTAACAAGTTCAGCTGAATTAAATGTAATTTGATCTTTGATAATTTTATGATATTCAGAATCATCTGATACTCATTATTTTGAATATCAGAATTCCCTGTTTTATAGATTAAACATGAAAACTGAATTAAGTTGAACTGAATGGGCATGTGAACCATCTCCCCAGTGGCTGAGCTTTGAAACCAAATCCTTGATAGGAGCTTACTGTCTTAAAGAGAAAGAAGAGGAAAAGGAAAACGCCATTTGGTTGGATCAATGAGTATTGAGGGTTTTGCTGTTCCTAGTTCATCCTGATGTACTGCTTCCCATTTCAGGAATTTCATTCATTCTGGGACTAGCTGTATACACCACACCAAGAACAGAACACAATGTGACTTTTAACTTTGTTTACAGAGAATGCGAGTGTGCTGTTAATGTCACTTGTATTCACTTGCACCTTTCGCTGCAAAAATGTGAGAAATTACTGTCTTCTTTTACTTCTACAGTGAAAGTATTTTTTAAGTCCATTCTAGTGCCACATAATTCACCGTATCCCTTGTCTGATTTTTCAGATCAGTATAAAGAAAACTATACATTAGGATAACGTTTGCCTATATGGTTATGTGTTTTTTCTTGAACACTGGCCAGCCATAGCCTTGTGAAGACATCTCCCTGCCGATTTCTTAATCATCTGCAATGCTGTTATGGAGACCAAGCTGTTGACTCTCTCCTGCTTTGTCCTAAGTGGTGTTAAGAAGTATGCTTGTGAATTTCCTTCTGTGAACTCAGCAGGATCATAGGAAAGTGAACTGACCACATTGTCACTACCACTGTTTTATCTACCTGCTGAATCAGAAGTTTTGTTTCCATCCATGTCAGGATCCGCTGTGTCACGTTTATATCTGCACATACAGTTTTCTGTTAGGAACATTCCTTGATGTTGTGTGTGGCCTCTTTGGTTGATTCTCTCCAAATGCAGGTCAGTGCTATCCTGGCAAATGAAAAAGGCAATCTGTGAGTCTCCTGCCCATCCTTGTAACTACACCCTTCACAATGAAATTTTGCATCTGAGGAGTGATTAAAAATGTCTGTGCAGACACATGGACTTAAGGATGATCACACAATTTTGAACATTTCTGCAAACTACCTTTGTAAATACTTAAGCAGGTTTCCATGAACTTTAGCTTACTCTTGGAACAGAAAGAATTCTTGGCTACAGAAATCAAATAAGCCTGGTTTGCAGTAACCAAGAACATAAATGAAGAACTGAAGTACAAAGCTTGTGTGTCACAGTGACGTCTGCCAGAGGTCTTTACAGCTGCTTATAACTGTGAACACTGACCAGCTAAAGCACTCACTTGCCACAACCAAATAACCTCTCTCAAAGTAAATTCAATACGTCTGTAAATATACGTATATAGAAACAACAGACAATCTGGAAACTATTTTGGGCTGTTAGAAAAATCAAAGTGATGATAATTATAAAGGACATTAATAAGCACGGCTTGGTGATATGACTGTGAGGGGCAGAATGGTGCAATAAGATGCTATTTACAAGTTTCTTCTAAGGCCCAGATATCTCAGATACAAATTTGAGAATGAAGACTGTTGAATATGAAACTAAGGCCAAGCAATAATGTGCCCCCAAAAGGCAGTTATACCAGCAAGTCCATCTGCTGTGGGTATACCATTATATAATTATGGTTTGCTCTGTGAAGAATGACAATAAATCAAAGAATAAAATAATTGGAAGCGTAATTCCTGCTTTTTGTTAGAAAATCTGATGCGAATCTTCGTAAAGAGGAGCACCAGTGAGCATGAGCAGCTTCTGTTCACAGCCTGTTTCCCGCCAGCCAGGACAGAGTCCACACTGGCTGGGAAGGGGTCCATGCCAGCCAGGTCAGAGGAGCATCTACATGTTGTACTGGCTTCAAACTCAAGTCAACTCCAACCAGAAACTTTGTCAGATAAAAGGATTTAACTGGACATTAGCATGTTAGAAGTTAATTCACTTAACTCTGCCTAGTGGATTGCCAGGTTTAGTGATGAGGAATAGGCTTCCAAATGTAAACTTACTAAAACACGAGTACTTATATCAAAAGGGGCCTCAAATAATGCCTTATAGAGAATATTCTAGATGATAGTTTCTGGATAATAATTCCTCATCAAGTGTCTTTCTGGGTTCAAGTTCAAAATTAAATGGCTGCAAAGTAGTAGGAATTAAAATCACATATTTTACACTTCAGAAAAAGACACTGATGATC